ATATATATGTATATATATATATGAGCTCTGGTAGCATAGTGCCTAAGGCACTTGACTGCTAACCAGAAGGCTGGGGGTTCAAACCCACCAGCTACTCCTCGGAAGGAAGGTTGGGCAATCTACTTCTGTAGTGATACTGCCTTGGCAACCCAAGGAGGGGTCTCTATGAGTCGGGTCCGACTCAAATGGCAGTGAGTTTGGTTTTATATATATATATGTATATATATATATATATATATATATATATATACACATATATACACACACACACACACACACACACACTCTAGAAGATATAGACGGATTAAAGGAGTTACCAAGGAATGTGATTGGATGGATGGGAGCAGGAGTGAGACTTCCCCTATGTAGCTTTTATATATATGTTCATGTTTTTGAGCTGCATGTGTATATTACCTGGAAAAAAAAAAAAAAAAAAACTGCCATCGAGTTAATTCTGACTCATAGTGACCCCTATAGGGTTTCCGAGGCAGTAAATCTTTACAGAAGTAGATTGCCCAGTCTTGCTACCTAGAAAAAGTTAATGGATTGAAGGGGAGGACTTTGTAAATGTATCTCTCAAACTTTTCCACCAAATTAGAACACAAAGGAGTCTGACCATTGCCCCCAAGAACTGAGAGACTTGATTCAAGACAACTCATCTCAAGTCTAAAAGCCTTTGATGTTTCCAATCTTACTCTTAAATATCTGCAAACATTTAGCTCTCCATTCTATCATTTCAAACAGTTACAGGTGGGATATTTTCTTTTCAATAAATTTGAATGTATTACCTGAATTTAAACTCATCAACCCTGAAGTCGGGTTTTGAGAGCCTACAATTACCCTCTGACACTTTTTGGGCTAAGACCAAGCTCCTCTGTCTGATAGTCAAGACCTTCCCTTCCAGGCCCTGTATTCCTTATGCAAGCCTCTATCTCAACTCCCCAACCTTACCACAGTTCCACCCAGGACAGTCTTCCTTCTGTTCCCCACTGTTTCCCTCAAGACCTTGGCATCTCTGAACGTTCAGTCAAATTCAGTATGAACAAAATCAAACTCATGATCTAACCCCTAATCCGTCACATCCTCCCAGGCTCCCCATGTCTGTCAATAAGTTTCCCAGGGACTACAGCCTCAGGTTTAGAGTCATTTTTTTGTTCTTCCATCTTCATTCATCCCTTCCTACCAAGTCAATCCCTAAATCCAATTTTTTCTCTCTCTCTTCAAAATGTCCCTTCAATCTGTCGTTTTCTTCTCATCTTCACTGCTGTTATGCTATCCTAATCCCTCAAAGATTAAGGACTACAGTCTATAGTATGGATTACACCTCAATATAAAGAAAACAAAAATCTCACAACAGGTCCAATAAACAGCTTTGCAATGGATGGGGAAAAGATTGAAGTTGTCAAGGACTTCATATTACTTGGTTCTACAATCAACACCCATGGAAGTAGCAGTCAAGACATCAGGCAACATATTGCACTGGGCAATCCTGCTGCAAAAGACCTCTTTAAAGTGCTGAAGAGCAAAGATGTCTCCTTGAAGACTAAGGTGCGCCTAACCCAAGCCATGATATTTTCATTTGCCTCTTATGCATGTGAGAGCTGGACAATGAGTAAGGAAGACCAAAGAAGAGTTGATGTTTTTGAGTTGTGTGTTGCAAAGAATGCTAAGAGTATCGTGGTCTGCTAAAAGGGCTAACAAATCTGTCCTGAAAAAGTGCAGCCGGAATGCTCCTTGGAAGTGAGAATGGCCAGACTTCATCTCACCTACTTTGGTCATGTTGTCAGAAGGGACCATTCTGTGGAGAATGATATGCTTGGTAAAGTGGAGGGTCAACAAAAAGGGGAAAGCCCTCAATGAGATGGATTGACACAGTGGCTGCAACGATGGGCTCAGTTATAGCAAGGATCATGAGGCTGGCACAGGACTGGGCAGTGTTTCGTTCTGCTGTGTATAGGGTTGCTGTAAGTCAGAAACGACTCAATGGTGCCTAACAACAACAATCCTTCAAAACACTGGGAGCCTGGTGAGAGAGGGAAAAAAACAGCTGATTGCAGCTGTGTGACTGGTGATACCAAGTTATTTAATCTCTTAGTCTTTTCATCTGTGGATTGGAGAATATAATTCTACTTATCTCATAAAAGTTGTTATGAGGATTAAATGAAATATTTGAAAATACCTTGCAAAGTGCTAAAATTCAGAGCAGAAATTCAACAGTTATTCATCCCCTTTGCTTCCTTTCACTTTAGATTACTTCTGTAATAACTATCTAACTCACAAGTCAGTTAACTATGGGCTATGGGCCAAATACAGTCCTCCACCTGTTTTTGTAAATAAAGTTTTATTGGAAGACAGCAGTGCTCATTTGTTTATGTAACTGCTTTCATGTTACAACAGCAGAATTGAGTGGTTACAAAGCCTAAAGCATTTACTATCTGGTCTTTTCCAGAAAATAATTGCTGACTCCTGGTTTTATTGATCGTGAAGCTCCACTGTAAAATTGTCTAAACACAGGATGATGAATCTTTCTCAGCCAGCTCTCTGTCCCAGACTACATGTCTGTGAATGGCCAGTTTTGGCTCATTCATGACTTCTGTTGTATCTTTGCAAAGGTCTCCCAAAAGCAGCAGTGATCAATCATCACCGCATATGGTATGGAACCGGCCTTGCTGTAGCAAGTGGGATTAAGGAAGATGATATCATCTATACCACTCTGCCCTTATACCACAGTGCTGCGCTTATGATAGGATTACATGGATGTATCCTGAAAGGTAAGCATTTTCTTTCAACAAGGATCAGAGGCCTATACTAAAGAATAATGAAGAATCCACGAAAACACCTCATAACAAGGATGAACTTGGAGGACATTATGTTGAGTGAAATAAGTCAGTCACAGAATGACAATTACTATGTGAGTCTAGTATTGTAGAAAGTCAAGGAAAGGTATACATGCGGAAGGAAACTCTGTTGGTTATCATGGATGGGAGGGAAGAGGAGGGAAAATTGCTAGATAGATAAGAGACAAGAATTGATTTGGGTGAAGGGAAAGGCAATATACCAAAGTAAGTGACCAGCACAGTAACACTAAGGAAAAGGAAGACAGAGAAATGCACAAGAGGTATAGACAGCAAAGGTAAGCAATTTACATATACAATGCTACATTATCAATAATAACAAACATTAATCTACAGGCCAATACATAGGTAGATAGGCCAGATGATCAGGTATGGCTAAGCAAAAGAGAAAAATGAAAGAATTGGAGGCCCGTCTGCTGTATTCATACAGTCATATCTGCTAATAAGGGGAAGTAATACAAAATTTAGCTGTTTTCCTATATATCTCTCCATATTTATTTCTCAAGAGTTAACTCAAGACTTCCCTCTTCCAGAATGTCTTAGTTCTTTCTCCAAGCAGAATTAATCTACACGCACATCTCTCCCTCAGGGCCTCATCTGGACCTTTTACTACATGCTGCCTTGTAGTAGAATGATTTTTGTATGTATCTTCCCTCAATTAGATTAGAAGCTCCTATAGGACAAAATGATGTCTTATTCCATTTTTGTGCTGCGTATAGTAGGTACTCACTACTTGTTTGTGCATATAATTTATTTTTTAATTTCCACCTTTCACAGCTGGCAAATTAAATATAGTTGGGGGGATTTTTGTAGCATTACTTTATTGAGAATTCCTATGCCTTCCCTGTTTGTAGGTGCTACTCTTGCTTTACGGACCAAATTTTCAGCCAGCCAATTTTGGGATGATTGTAGAAAATACAATGTCACTGTCATTCAGTATATTGGTGAACTGCTTCGGTATTTATGCAACTCACCCCAGGTAACTCTCCCCATGTTTCAGTATCTTGTTGAAATGGGTAAGATGGGAATCCAAGCCACTTTTGGTTATGCTGGGCTTCAGTTGATTCATATGTATCAGTTTTCAATTTAGACTGAAATTGTTTTTCTGTTTCTTTTTTTAATTGTACTGAAAGTGCACATTTACTAAGTAGATTTGTTTCACATTCAACAGTTCATGCACATTTGATTTCATGTCCCGATTAGAATCCCCAACCATAAAAATCTCTCCTTACTGTGACTGCCCCTCTCTTCTAATGTGTGCATTCCTGTCTGTCCAGCTTTCCCCTGTGTGAATGCTACCCCTCTGATGTCTCATGGTTGATTGATCTAAGGGGTGCATCTCCCTAGAGTAGGTGGGTGCATCTCCCTGGGTAGGTCTTCTGCATGTAAGTCTTTCTACTGTTGAGCTGAGAGCCAATCCATGGATATGGGTCCATTTACAGGCCCAAAGGTAACCTAGGGCCATAGTCTCAAGAGTTCTACCAGTCTCTTTCCAATCAGAAATTCTGGTCATTTTTGTGTTTTTGAATTTTGTTCCACATTTTTCCTCCCACTCTAACCAAGATCTCCGATTTTGATCCCTTTCTGAGTGGTTGGCATTGGTAGCCGGGCACCATCTAGTTCTTCTGGTCTTGGGGTCATGAAGGCTGAGGTCCTCATGGTCCATCATGTCTTTGGACTAATTGTTTCCAAATGACTTTGATTTTCTTCACTTTTCGTTGTTCCAGGCAAGAGGAGACCAACAGTTGCATCTTGGATGGTCACTTGAAAGCTTTTAAGACCCCATAGACTGAAATTGTTTTTCTGTGTGTGTGTGTGTGTGTGTGTGTGTGGTTTAATTCTTGAAATTGTTTTTCATGCTAAAGTGCTTGGCATCACACGTACCTTATAGAGATGATTTAATAGCTGGTGCTTGTTATTAGTCTCTGCCCCTTTACCTGTGTTCACATCTTTCCTTTTACCTAGCGTATCCTCCACTTTCTTCTCTGCCTATTAAAAGCCTGTCAAAGTTCTACTGAAATGATACCTCATACTTTAAATCTACTTGGGTCCCTCCAAAAACAATCATTACTCCTTTCCCCTACATCAATTTATTTATATCTCTCTTGTCCCCTTGCAGGTGTTTGGCTTCATGTCTCGCATCCTCCCTGGGCTATAAAATCTTTGAGGACAGGGACCATATCTTATCTTCTTTCTCTCTCTTATACAAAGGCATTGAGTAAATTTTCACTTAATGCTATTTAATTAATATCTTGAAACCAACCAACTGAGTCCTTCACTAAGTTTGGGACAGATACCCCAAGGTAACTCCAGGGCCTTTGGGTCAACTTTGTTTGCAGACATCCAAATATTTTGATGGGATTGTTCATAAGAGCTCCTCCTTAGAGATCTGATGACCTGCTTTGGGAGTAGATCAAGGTTCTCAACCCTGGCACTGCTGACATTTTAGGTCTGTTAATTCTTGGCTGTATAGGCTTGTCCTATGCATTGTAGGACATTTAGCAGCATCTGTGGCCTCTACACATGAGTAACTAGTAGTACTCCTACACAGTTGTGACAATGAAAATATCTACAGATGTTGCCAAATGTCTCTGCAGGCAGAATTTCCCCCACTTGAGAACCACAGGACTAGATAATGTAGTAAATTCACCAGATATTCATTGGTTTAATCCATTCAATCTAGGTAAGAAAACAAACTCAAAAGATCTCTAAATTGATACCCTGGTGCTTATAAGCACCAGTTATGTTCAACTTGGGCAACCCTATGTGGCGCAGTTAAGCACTTAGCTGCTAACCAAAAGCTTAGAGTTTGTTTCTACCCCAAAGCATCTCAGAAGAAAGGGCTGGCCATCTACTTCTGAACAACCAGTCATTGAAAACCCTATAGAACACAGTTCTACTCTGACACACATGGGGATGCCATGAGTTGGAAGCAACTCCATAGTAACTTGTTTTGGGTTTTTGTTTTTTTTTTTAATTTTTTTCAACTTACAGTATCAGCTGCTGTGTGGCATCAAAAGAAGTAAAATATATTCTTCCCCAGTTATCTAACTACATGGTTCACTCTCACCTCATTCAGTCAATGTCCAGATGTCTTCTCATCAGAGAGGCTCCTCCTACTAATTATCAAATGCATCACCCCACCCCTCATTGTCCATATTGGTACTGCTTTTCATAGCACTTATCACTCCTGACATAGTGTAGATCTATCTATATATATTGTCTGTCTCCCACAGTTAAATGAAAGCTCCATTTGAGCAGGGGCTTTGCTCACTGATGCATCCCTGGCCCTGATATCCATATCTTGCATATCACAGGTACTCAACAAATTTTGCTGAATGAATGAACCTCTAAATTCTTGCCCCTGAAAAAATGTGTAATTAAGTTGAGGGAGGTAATGTTTGTACTTGGCATATGTTATTCTGATTTTTTTTTTTTTTTTTTTTTTTTTTTTTTGCATTCTCCACAGATTTCATGATCAAGGGTCATAATTAGCTGTGAGCTGGGTTAGAACCTTTTCCACAGCAATTCCTGTTGATGTTCTTATTGAATTTTCTTCACGTTAGTATTCCACCTGGCCCTCAAGATTGCCTGCCTCACTATTAGAACTCAGAAGTCCATATGGGGCCCATCTGTTTGGCTTTTCTTCTCTACCTTAAAGGCACCCCTTTGTCAGAAGTCTCCTGGGAAATGTGTGTTGTGTCTGTTAGTTCTAATGGGAGCTACCTTTGGACTTGAGGAAAACAAACATGTTTGTATGTAGCTCTCTTCAGGCTCATTCTCTCTCTCTCTCTCTCTCTCTCTCACACACACACACACACACACGCACACACACACACACACTTCTACCTTTTCCCTTTTTCTTAATGTTGTCTCAGAAGGATTCTGGAAAACAAAGACAAGTTCAAGGTTTTACATCTTCAGAATATTTTATGGTGTTAAAATAAAATCTTGTATTAATTCAGAAGAATAACACAATATTTGATTGCTCTATGATTTAATAAACAGTTTGCAAATTGAGGTATTATTCTCCTCCTGCAAGAGGAAAAACTTCCAGAGAATGGAGATTTCATAGAGACTTCAATTATTTTTGCTCAATGGATACAAGTTTTTATGGCAATGAAGTAATTAATGGTTATTGAGTTAGTATTAGAAAATAACTCCTGAAATTGTGACTGTTTACCTGTTTGTAGTCATGAGACCTCTTGAAATTAAAAAAGGAAGCCCACAGTCCTTTTCATTAAATCACAAGGTAATGGGTTTGTTATTAACCAGTCACTTTAAGCTGGGGCAGGGGGGGAGTTTAACCATGCTGCAGAGTCCATGGTAATTTGCAGTGAAGCAAAACAGGACAGCAAAATTACAGGCAACATCAATTTTGGGTCAGGTAATTTTAGGTTAGTGGGTTAGGAAAAAGAACTTTTGAAATCAAAATACAGCTATGCAATGCTTAATGTCCATCTGGGCAACATAAGGTGTTTTTTGTTTGTTTGTTTTAAAGGGAAAGCAGCTCTCCTTTTGTTTATTCTTTCCCTCTAATGGTTTTAAAACCCCTAAACCTCCAGAATGAATGAGCAGCAGGGTTCCAGGGTGCATCTCAACCTCCACAGTCCCTCCTCCTCTGCCTCCCCTGGCTTCATTCACCTGCCCAGCAGCCATGCAGCTTTTTACTCCCAGGGCGGATCGGTGCCTGCTATGGCTCCTGCACTCCTGACATGAGCACTACTGGTGCTACCCAGGCCCAGGGGCACTCACAGGCTCCTGGCTCCAGGTGGCAGTGGTGACAACAGCTGCGCATGACCAGGAAGCAACTGCTTGAAGGCCAGATGGAATACTAATGTGAAAAAAATTCAACAAGGCAGCAGCAGCCAGGACCACCATGGGCAACTGCACTCCCAGCACCTGCCCAGTCCTTGCAGCAACCACTCTGCACCCATCCATGAACTCCTCCTCCCACCTTGCACCCAAATGTGTACAAAGTCCCAATTTGGCTACCCGTGCAGGCTATGCTCAGTTCAGCCACTCATTTTGTGCAGTGTACAGTTGACAACTCCCATTCTATTTGTGTGGCTGCCTAGTAAAGCAGTGTCATTTAAGAAAGAATTAGTTACTGAAACAAGATATTGCTCAAGCTACTTGTTTTTTTTTGTTTGTTTGTTTGTTTGTTTGTTTTTTTCTCTATTCCCGTTAGGGATGATAGCTACAGCAAGGGGTCTAAAGGAAGCTTTATGATGCTTGTTGGGAATATGATCTAGGTGAGAGGAAGAGAAAGAAGAAAGAAAGATCAGAAGAGAGTTCCAGAGAACCCACACAGAAGCCATATGATATTTAGAAGAGGAAATAAGATAACTCAGAACGTTTAAACAGCTGAATAGACTCAAATTACCTCCCTAGAGTTGTCTGCAATCCTTGCAAAATTAGATAATCTCTGTGGTCCCTTCCATCTTAAAATATCTATCTTCATATGACCTTCATGCAGATAGAAAAGAGAAGGGAAGGGTACATAGCAGCACAGAGTGGAGAGTGACCTATTTGAGCTATTGGTGCCAGGACAGAGCAGGGCAGAGGAACAAGGGGAGGAGGGCAGGATCAAGGAAGGTTTGCCAGAGAAGATCACTTTTGAAGGGAATAGAGAAGTTTTCCAGGGAAAGAAGGGCTATGGTTAGCTGGAACAGCTTGTGCCAAGTACTGGAATGGAGGACTTTGGGAATATGTGTTGGGAACTGCAAACAGGAGGTGAGACTGTTTGGCTTGCTGAGGCCAGGTGGCAAGGGCTTTCCTATGCTGAGACTTAAATATGAAAGTGCCAAAGTACCACTAAAGGTGCTTTATGAGGAAGAGTGAAGTGAGAAATAGCTTTTCCAGAAGATCCCTTGGCTGCATTGGCAGGGGTACATTGGAGGGAGAAGAAGGGTTCAGAGGGCTCTTAAAGAAGTCTTTTGCAGCATATTTGCCCAGTGTAATACATCATCTGATTTC